AATAGCTTCTAACAGAGGATTCTGTACCTCAGCCTCCCCTGGCCCAGCTCAAGCATGTAGCAGCAGAAAGCACAGAGCAAATGCACTCCTCAAACGCAGCACGGTGGCTGATGGTAGCAGTGTCACCTGGACACACAGACACACAGCGACTGAGTGAGGCAGAAGTGTGTGTGGCTGTGGAAGCATTCAAGTTACATTAAGTTCAGCTAAGACTTCAGCGTGTCTCCACCGCAGCGATTTAAGGAGGTGTTCTTTTATATCAGAAATTAACGTGTGGTGGGGACAGCAGAAAGCAATGTGCAGCTCAAAGCCCAGCCCCTTACATGAAGGAGGGTTCGCACTAATCAGGCAGTGACACAGGGCAACTGAAGCCTGAGCATGCTTTGTTCTACTGCGCTCAGTGGTAACCTGCTACACTAAGGCAGGGAGGGGCAAGGTGGTTTAAGATGCTTTGTCCCAATTAGCATCCAACAAAAGCTTGCTGCTGCCCGACATACAACTGACACTCGGCTGCAGGCAGACTGAGCTGGGAGAGGCGGTCACCTGCTCTGCTTTTTGATACTCCAGCTGAAAATGTGCAAAGTTCAGCTGAAATAAGTGACAGCTTATGTTACATAAGCACACGGGGCTGTAAATTACAACAGCACCAGGATGGAAACATGCCCCTTCCTGCCAAGCTTGCTCTAAGGACAATAATCCGCAGCAGAAAAGGAGATGTAATCACTTGAGCTGTTCCAGATGCATCCCCTCACGAGCTGGAGCACGACTGACTGCATCAGAGCACAGGGGCACACAAAGAATTCCTTTAGGAAAGCCGGGTGTCACGACAGTAATGAGCATTCAGAATGACCACATCCACCAGCAGGAAGAGCAGTCCGTGCCCCCAGTTGCCTTGGGCATACTGGATTTGTTTTCTGGGTTTTTACGAAGCTCTTTAGGAACACTTCTATCCACCTTTGCGTGCTCTGCCTTAGGGACAGGCAGCTTCCTTTCAAAACCAATCTATAAAAGCAATCTATGACCCCGAACGAAAGAAGCCACTACTTTGCACCTTTGCACCGCAACCTTGCTCAAACAAACCACCAAAAGCACGTTTAAAAGTCAGAGTCCCTTTCCTTCGAAGAGAACAACAACAAAAAAAGGAAAGAAAAATGCTCTCCGGGGAGCGAGCTCACACCGACGGCGCAACACTGCCCGCTGCACTTTGCCCCGCGGAGGGCCGGGACACCTGGTGTTTGTCCAGGGGCCTCGGCAGCACAGCCGGATGGATGCCCGTCCACCGGCGCTCGCAGCACTGCTCGGCGGCCCCGGAACGAAGGAGGCAGCCGTCCCCACAGCCAGCGGGGAAGCACCCGCATGCGGTTTGCTTCGCTCTCAAGCGAACGCGAGCAGAAGCACTGCCACGCGCACTCCGCAAATACCGACATCCGAAGCGAACTCCGGTTCTGCTGCCAGCCCGCTGAACGCGGGCACGGCTCTGCTTCTCGGACACGCGACGCCACCGCGGGGCCCGCGCGGAAAGGAGCGGATGAAGTCGGTTCGGCTCTCGCCACCCGAGCCGCGCTTGGAGCCGGCGGCACCCGCACGAGCGCGGCGCACACGCGGCCGAGGCCGCCCTCACTCACCTGCCGGCCGGCCCGCAGCCTCCCGCGGGGCGGCACCGCCGCCGCCGGAGCCGGGAGCCGCGCGGGGCAGCGGTGACAGCCCGGCGGCAGCCGGCGGCCAGGAGGAGGCGGCGGCGGGCGCGGGGGGGGCGCGGGGCCCCGGAGCGGCGGCGGCAGAGGCGGGCGGCGGGGCGAAGAGGTAGAAGGGGCTGTAGTAGGCGGTGGGAGCGGAACCCGGCGGGGCGGAGGGAGGGGGCGGCGGCGGGGCGGCGAGGCGGGCGGCGGGGCCGGCGGCGAGCAGGGCGGGCAGGCCGCAGTGCCAGCTGAGGTAGCCGCAGTACGAGTCCCACAGCCACTGGTGCACCCGCCGCGCGTACTCCGCCGCGCTCAGCGCCTTCCCCCCGTCGTCGCTCCCCGCGGCCGCCGGCGCAGAGCGGGGCGGCGGAGGCGGCGACGCGGGAACGGCATCTCCGCCGCCGCCGTCGCTCGCGTCCCGGGCGTCCCCGGCCATCGCCGCCGCCGCTCCGGCGCCGCTGCGGGCCGTGCCCGGCTCCGTGCCGGGATCCGCCATCTCCGGCAGCGCCGCTGACGCCGAGCGCCGCCCGAACCGCGCGTGCGCCAGGGTGCGCCTCGCCTCTCCCTCTCGGCGGGGGGGAGGGGGCGTGAGCAGGGAAAGCCGAAAAACACCGCGCGTCGGGAGAGGAAGCGGCTTTCCAACCCCTGTGCCGCCAGATGGTTTCGCCCAGCGCCGACGGAGGGCCGCGCTTGGGCCGGGGAGCGTTCGAGCGCCCCAGCGAGGGGACCTGCGGCCCCGCAGCCGCCCCGGCTGGATGCAGGCAGAGCCGCCGCCCCGCCCCGCCCCGCCCCCACCCTGCCGTGTGACGGCGCGAGGCGCCTCAGCACCTCAGCCTTCCCGCCTCCCTGTGACGCAGCGCAGACTTCGTTTCGAAATCCGAAAGAAAGCGGGCGGATAACCCGACCAACTGGGAAACTGTGGCACTGGGAGACAGGGATGTAATTTGCTGGAACGCTGGGAAGATTTGTGGATTTCAAGTGCAGGCTTGAGGTTGCTCAGCCTTTTCTCTTCTGTAGCTCTGTTGAGCACCAGCGCCGCGATCAGGTTTTTTACGACGTACTTTTAATGGAAATGGTGTTAATTGTGGAAGTAGCGGTGTTCAAAAAACAGTCTTAAATTATTCCAGCAGGTGGATGTTTTTTCTTCTTCCGCATTCGGTCCCCTCAGACCTTTAACAGAAACGATCTTTTACGTCTTAACAGCGACGCTTAGAGAGCAGTTTCTCGGTCCCTTGATAGCACGCACAGCCTTTGCGCACACGAGCCCAGCGTTAAGAGGAACGGCCATTGCCCGCGCCTCAGCTGCTCTCTGCCATCTGGTGGATACGCGGAGTCACTGCTCCGATACTTGCCAATTCCACAAAGGAAGCGATGTTCTGACTAACTAAGCCGATATCGCACAGCCGGAGGATGGCTGAGGCTGGCAGGGCTGTCTGTGCCCACCTGGCCCCAGCCCTGCCCGAGCAGCGCGCTCAGAGCCACGGCCAGGCGGCTTCTGGAGATCTCCAAGGAGACCCTGCAGCCTGTGGGCAGCCTGTGCTCCATCACCTGCACAGCACAGAAGTGATGTCTGGTGGTTAGACACAACCTCCTGTGTGCCAGCTCGTGCCCAGCGCCCCTTGTTCTGCTGCTTTCTACCTGAGAGGCCCCAGCCTGGCCTGGGTTTGGTCCTTTTCCTCGTTGCTCTTCATGCTATTGAAGAAAACATGAGATCTCACAAGAAAAACACTGTTTACATTTGAAAGCTTACATCAAAACTTTCATATATTGTGCCAGCTGATTTGCAGCCTAGTGAACATTTGACCCACACAGGTTTATAAAAATGAACAGGCTAGTTATATCATACACGTTCATTCCATAGCAATGTATGCACCACAGGTACTGTTCTCTGGTTAGATTTAGAACAGAAACACAATTTTAAAGCAGTGCAGACTGTATGGGAACTGCTGAATTATGGCCTGAACCTCTGATTGATCACCCGATGTGAGCCATGAGTCAGCCCTAGGAGCTCAGCTGAAGGCACTTCACCTGTGCTGCTGAAAGAAGTGGAGCCTGGCTGCACCTCCCCTAGACCCATTTAAGAACTGACTACCAGTAGGAGAGGATCTTTCTGAAGATCCCTCCTTTTGGGGTTTTCCAGCAAGCCCAGGACAAGGGTAAGCTTTTTTTGTGTGGGGGGGTGTGTAGTAACCTGCTTAGCCAAACTCTCTTGTATATTTCTTAATTACAATATCTGTATATTCATTGACTATACAGACTAATCTGAAATACGTGGTGTATTTCCTGTGGCAGTGTGCAGTAAAAAGAAGGGATTGATGGAATGTTAGGGCTGTTTAGCATTTAGTGCTTTATTCCTTGCTGGAGTCAATCCTTAAACACAGGTCAGGTTTGCTGGTGGGGATGTGGATACAAGTGACCACAGCTGGGATCTCTCATCAAATTGTCATTTTGCAGCTTGGTGACTATTTCTAACTCAAGATGTATGTAATTATTCTTTCAAAAAGGAGTTTTTTACACTTAATTGTACATGAAGTCATATAGGGTAGAATCAGAACCTTGGATTTATCTTGTTTATTTTGCATTCCTTTCCATTTTTGAAGATAGGTTGCAGAGAGCAGCTCTAACTACTGAAGATATACAGCAAATATTTTTCCCAAGGATTAGAGCTGACAAAACAGTTATGGCTTAGTGCCACGTGGCTGTTGCATACTTGATAAAAGATGTCTGCATACTTAACAAGTCTCTCTCCTATTCTACTTTTCTGGTGTCTAATGCTGCGTGGACTTCATTGGCCTTTTCTCCAGTTATCTGTGTTACCTTGTGTCTTTTAATGTAAGGCCTTCTTCTTTATCTTTACAACCTCTGCTCTCTGACAGAGTTCTCTGGTGTGGTCAGGCCTTCAAGCACACAGTGTGACTGTTAAGAAACTCCTCAACAATTGTGCTTGGGTCTTGTACATTGCAGGAGTGTAGAGAGAAGGCTTAGCCATAAGGGAGTTCGCTCTGAAATGTTTAAAAGAAAATTGATACAAGTAAACCCTTAAGGAGGGAGCTGAACCCTTTGGAAAAACTAAGGAGTTTGTCCTTGTAGCAAGTCAGAGCTGCCTCACTGTTTTCCGTTCACCAGCAAGCATTTTAGACTTGTTTTGTGCCATACCTCCATGGGAGCACGTGGCTTCCTGTCTTTGTGTGATGACTTCATCCCTGTTGATGCTGAATAAAAACACTGCTCAGTCTTTCAGATCAGAATGCTCCAGAATGAGAACAAATCATGATTATGATTTGAAGATGAAACAATCCTCCCACAATCCTTTTATTACAAGTATGTGATGCTATTTTTCAGATATGCTGCATGTCTAAGTGAAATATGGGATGGACTGCTCCTGGAGCTTGTTAACATGGGAGGCATTCATCCAAAGACATGTAGAGAAACACTGGAAAAAGCTGAAAATAGAAAGTAGACCTTATAAACTTGTACTGGTCATGACATCTCCCTAGACAAAATCTCTGGAAGATACAGGTGTACCTAGAAATGAGAACCATGAACAGCTGGGTTCTAGTGCTGTCACAGAAGTTATATGCACAAAACTTCACCTGCTCACGTGCAGCACAACCACTACTTGCTGTCAGGTGGGTGATGGCTGCTGATGTGATGATGTTTCATTAGATGGGAGGAGAAGCTACTTCTCAGAAGCTAATGAAATGGCATTTAAGATGGGGAGGGCATATGGGACAAACAGTACAGCACAGTAAATTCTGAGTAACTTTATATTTAAACAAGTACATTTTTCCTTTTTTAATTCATAAGAAGTTTACTGTTGAAAAATGTTATATACTAAGGCAAACACGTTATACATATGGATTTAAAGACCAGAGCAAAACCTTGCGGAATGAGCACTACTGTTGTTATGTAGGGTTTACAATCAAAGATAGTTAAAAACCCTCAAGGATTAATGTACTTTCAAGGTAAATTAGGCACAAAATGTAGCTTGTAACTAGCTCTGCAAGCATTTCACTTTGATTTCACCATTACAAAGTATTACAAGTGATCAAAAACATATGCTGGCTGCAAAATTTTAAAATTTTATTGTACTATGTGCTGAAATAGTACAAATGTATACAAGACTCCACCTTTGTTAAAAAAGCACGTACAATAGGGACTATAGAAAGTAGAACTGAAGGGCTGAGTGGGCTTTATTTGGGCTCAACTGATAGGTCATAAATCTATGGCTTTGCTTCGTGGATGGATTTGAAATTAAGTGTTAGAAATGCAGGGAAGAAATAGAAAGATTTTAATTAACAGAAGCTATGACAGCCATGATAGATAGATTTTTTTTTTTTAAAGGAACTTTAACAAGCAAACTAAGTGAATCTGACATGTGCCTCTCGCCCTGGGAAAACCACCTGCCCAGTCATGGTATTTCCCCTGCCAACTTGCTGAATAGCGAAGGTGCAGTGTGCAGCATACAGTGTGGAATTTTAAAGCATGAGGGATTGTGTTAACAACAAAAGATACCTGTGGAGCAAAAACTTTCAGGTGACTTGCTGCAAGCTGTTAGCTCACATGAGGCTTCAGTTTCAAAAAAATTCCTGATTCTCAAGAAATGAGAGGGTTACAGCAAGTCTGTGTGGACCAGAATAAAATCCTGTACCACTGGAAACACAGGGATCTTCTAAATATGCATATTAGAAAAGTGTTAGATTAAAATATCATGTTATTTCATCTTCCATTAGGAAAACGTATTGCTGAAAGTTATCCTCTTTTTGCTTGCTGAAAAAATTGCCACTGAACTACAAGGAGCTGTCAGGTAGTTCTCTCCAGGGGTGCGTTTGTACTGTGTTGTACAGGAGTAGTGTAAGAGGTGAAAAATCTCACCTTAGAGTCCTAATGCTATTTTTGATAGCAGAAACATAAAAAGGAATGCCAGGAAGCAATGTGATAACTGAGTGTATCATGCAGTATTTTGGCTTAACGAATAAAGTGTTTCAAACCAATGAGGTGGCTGGAAGGCGGGGGTTTCAAGCCATTACATTCACATGACATCATTGAGAAGTAAAACCATAAGTGAAGGCAAACTGTGGAAACTTGAGAAATGCTGAGGTGCCTAACCAAAAGCGTGCCAGACAAGTTATTGTTTCTAGCATGCACAGCTAATGCTTGAAGGCCTATGAGAGCAGTAGGAGCTACTGCTATTTCTAGTTCTTTACATTGCTGCGTTGTTTTCTGCTGGCTGTGGTCTGATCACGGTCAGTGAGCGCTGGGTGCTGTTAGGAGGCTAACCCACGATCTCTGCAGGTTCAGTGACCAACTTAGATCCATCCCATGCTGTCTTGAACTGTTCAGGAACCGGAAATTCTTTCTGGTAAGAAACAAAAGCAACAATGATGATTAGATAAACAGCGGATACCTCATGAAAACTGGTGGAATACTATTAGTGCTACATGACTGGGAAAGCATTGAGAGCTCAGACATGCCAGGATTATAGAGGCCTTCCTCGTTACCCTAGGAAACTACTTTCAATGCCACACAGGAAAAAGCCTTACTGCTACCTAGGTTCAAATAGCCTCGCTGTGGTACTCCTGTGTAAAAATCCTTCTCACACCATTATTTGGGACAGCTAAGTAAATAAACCTCATGTCAGAAATGACTTTAGGCTCCATCAGCAACTGGCTGAAGGAGAAGGGATTTAAAGTGAAGATTTAGTGAGAAGATTAATTTTAAAGAAGAAAGCAAATGATATAACACAGAAGAGTAAAATCTAAAATACCAACCTATCATTTGACGTGTGATAAACTTCAAGAGACATAGCATTCTTTGTGGGGCAGACAAAACAAAGCGGAACCTTGAAGGAAGTTTCCTTCCATTGCATATATTCAATGAAAACATGAGAGATGTTGGGTCCTCCTCGGTTCTCAGAGAACAGAAGTGTGGAGGAAAGGATTTTTTTTCTTTCAGATCTCACAGTGTTTTGATAGCCAGTGACTTCACACAATAGTGGCAATTTGAGGAGAGAAACTCATCAAAGAGGTCTTTTTTTTTCTTCAGAAGTAGGTAGATATGCACTCACTGAAAATCATTCCCTTTTTATTTGCCTGAAGATGAGCATCCAGTAATCACTTTGGGGAAAGTGGCGCATGCAAATTCTCTTGTCACATCTCTTCTTTTGTAAAGCCTAAACCCTTCTGCCATACAGTATTCCAGAGTGGAAGATTTATGGCAAATTCAAGTTCTATCTTGAGTCATTCAGTGCAACTTCAAAACTACTCTGTTGAATAAGTGTGCTTTACCTGCATGTTGCCTTGCTACAGTGTGACACAACAGTGGATAGCTTTAATAGAAATGATGGAGAGCCAAGTATTAAGGTCTTACTAGGACAAAAAAGGAGCCCTTGAGTTAAAAAAGGCACACCTCATGTTTAAGTGATGTTTAAGAACCATGTTTTGAAAAATACTAGAAAGAATTCTACAGATACTGCCCATGTATCAACAGTCTTAGGAAAAAAAGTAAATACTTTATAATTTCACTTGGAGCTGAAAGATTTCTATCTTAACTTTAGTGTCATCCTCTTCAGGCAGAGTGCTCTCAAATAATGTGTGAAGTGAGTCCCACTGGGAGATCATGTTTAGGAACCAACTTTAAAAAAAAAAGAAAAAGAAAATTAAGTGGATGGGAGATGAAGCCATCATCTGTAAAAATGGGGAGAAATAATGTCTAATCTCTGAAATTTGTGCCCCCGCCAACGGAAGAAGTCTCTTTCTGCACTGACAGCTGAGAAAACAGGACACAGAAATTCAATTGTTTTGGATCATCTCTTGGTCATGTTCATACATGTGGTGTGTTAGCTCTTACTGTCCTAGCAGTTTTATCTAGCAAGGCTAGAAGGGTAGAGGGAGAGAATCTCTAAAAATAATCTCACTCACATAATCACCATCTTGGGGGATGAGGATGTTCATCTCAGAAGACTTGGCGCTCACGATCTCACAATCTAATGATTCCTCACTGAGGTAGATGTGACAGCCTTCTGTTTTGTTAATGGAAATGGTTGGCACTTTCCCCATCACCTGAAAAATGAGATATACTCATCATCGAATCTTAGAAAGCAAACAAAGACTCTGTTAATATAATTTTTATTGCCTGCCAGGTCTAATTTTGCCCATCAACATCTGATCTGTACATTGTCTGCCTTCATGATGCTTGTATTTGAGATACCCATTTGCTAAGTGCTAGAAGTTCTTTGTGGTGATAACAATGTTCTCTGTGCAACTGCAAGCTTATAATACACAGCAAGCTCTTAATGTATGATTTGATGCAAGTTTTTTCTCCATTCCCTCTATTGCCAGTGATATTTCTGTGCTGATACTCAGGCAGCATTCAGCTTGTTCATCAGCAGGATGGCAAGAAATCAAACACACGAACTCCAACCCATTCTAGGCAAATGAAGGACCTCAGCATCGAAAAGAAGTGTTTTATGATGCATTCCAAAGACTTAAAAATTCTTCCTGGATTTGTAGCACACAACAGGAGAGGGTTTTATACCCTTCAGGCAAGATAGAGCCCTAAAAAACCATGAAGATCAATTTAATTACATTTTCAAAGATATTTCTTACATCATGTTAAAAGCAAGCATGAGATTCACTTGAGGGGGGGAAAAGGAAGTGAATCTTCTCATGTTGACCATTCTACAGGTTAAAAGGTCTCTACCTGGCTAACTGGCTGACTCACAGCTGCCAGTAAAAATTCCTCCTCCTCCTGCCCACTGGCTGAATGCAGCAGTACACTGTGGTCAATGGGCAAAGGTTACTTTGAGCTATAAAACAATAACAGCACGTGACAGAGATCTACTCGCTAATAAAAAGAAAAGTGTCTCCCATCATTCGAGTTTAGAATATAATTTCAGCTTCAGTTCCTTACATGTGTCAGCAAACAAAGAGCTAGTGGTCTGTCTATTGCACTCTGCCCTCCTCCTGAAGTCTGATCTACGTAATGGATCAGTGCTTCCTAGCCTGATCTTTCCTCTCCTTTGCAGGATCTCATGCAATAGAGGGCAAAAGGAGTCTGTGTTTAATGTTATATGTTTTGCAAACATTAGGGAAAAATAAAATGCCACTGGGAGAAAGAAGAGCCAAGAAGTAAGGCACTGAAGCAAATACAGAAAAATCGTAGGGTAATTCGTTGCATTAATATGTGATATATTTGCAATTTATGAGCTCAGATCTTCAAAATACTGAGAAAATGGAGGTTCTGAGCACTTGGCATGCTCAAACCCTGCAGAATTAGGCAGCTTATAGCCAGAATCTTAAGTGTAACTCCACTCTGTTCTATGCCATAGAAGCCTTATGCAATATTCATAGAACCTGCTTAATCAAAAGAATTTTTGTTCTTAGAAAAGATATTTCCCCTTTGCATGAATATGAACAACCTCCAGTTTTGCTGTTCCTTACATAGGAGTTTTTTTGTCTTTCATGAGAAGTTCTAGCAGTAATGATAAAAATAATATATTTATTTAGGAAAAAAAACCACAAACCAGCCAAATGCCTGGGATGTTTAAATGCCTGTGCCATAAGATGTGTAGTGATCATGACTAAACCTGCTTGTTACACTCAGAAGATGATGCACAGCTGGTAGCAATGTCAGTCACTCGCAAGAGGTACAAAACAGCAAAAAAAAATTCTGTTTTTTAATGTGATATCTGTGACCAGTATTTCTGAGGCATGGAACAGGCCTGTTTATAGTTACTGCAGACACAGCCTTTTAAGCAAAAGACCTCACCTTTTGTGAAGAAGACAGGCAGTTTAATATAATTTAATTCACATTTAATTATTTTTCTCTTAAAATAAAGCATCCCAGAGGCTTTTCTTAAGACAAGATCATCTGTGTTGGTCACAGCCCAGTATTAGAGCTTGTACAGTTAGACCTCTTTGGAACAGGATGAGTGAAGTGCTGTAAATGCAGGCAGACTCTCTGTATTTTGAATAGGGCAATGTACAGGGAGGGCAAGATCTGGATTAAAAAAATGTATATTTTCATTTCAAAGAAGCACAAAAGAAGGCAATCTCTGATGAAGTTTTACTCACTGGTTGTCTAGGACAAAACCAGCAGAGACTCACAGCCCGTATGTAGGCAAGTTGTCTGCATTATCTTCTCATGTAATGAGTCAAGTTGCTGGCAGGGAGATCTTCAAAATCCAAGAGCCTGCTTTCACTTTATGTCATTTAGTTGTCCTTGATAGTCTATTTGAATGTTTTCATTGAGAGGGGAAGAAAAAAAAAAAAGAAAGGAAAAAAACAACTTCTGGGCTCAGAAACCAATTAGCTAACTGCTGGAATTTGAAGCACTGCTAAACTTTCAATTTCAGGAGTTGTTTACCATGAAAGCAACAGAATTAAGGCCAGAAATAAAAATATTTCAACCCTGCCCAGGGCAGGAGGATTGGAACTGGATGACCTTGAAGGTCCCTTCCAACCCAACACATGATTCTGTGATTCCACTGAATAGATCTCTTTCGTTTCACTGGAACCAGGTGTTGGGCTAAATGAAGTTTATTCAGTAATGATCAGTAGTATTCATAGGCATTTTCTAAATACATCAGCAGAATTCACTATATATCAAGATACGTTTGGCTGCACCAGTCTCTTACTCTTCATGTGCACGTGAGTTTATAATAATCTCTTGCAACTACATGTTGGGCATGTTCTTTCTGCCTGTTCTCTTTCTCTCTTTGTTTTTCAAACAGATGTTTACCTGAATCTGAATATCCCTGGAATTGATCACTTCCACGATTCCCACAACGTTGTCAAACACAAGGCCAAACTTTTTACAGTTATCTGAAATAAAAATAATTATAAATAAGAAAGGCAAGATAAAAGCAAATATATGCACACCAGCTGTCTCATACTGCATAGCTGATCACTGGTGATCAGCCCATCACGATGAATGAAATGATTCACACGCGTTATTAATTGCATGTCAGTTTTTTCAAGATTGGCATTTAAAGTCCAGCTGAGCTATCCACTCACCAATAGTAATCGAATTGATCTTCCCTTTTATCTGAAGTGTAGACTTGTTACACTTGAAGATGTAGGCTACTTGCTTGAGTTCAGTGTTGGTAATGACGAGGTCGTTCTTATCCTCTTGATATTCCTATTTCAGAACAAAGTTTATTTGGTTATCTTTAACCAGCTAACAGTCAGAGAGAGCTTAGTACAACACATCATCAAGTCATTGCATCGCTGCAACAGAACAATATCCTTCTGGTGGCTTAAAAATCCAGTGTGATTGGTGGCTGGATATTTCACCTACCTCAGCCTGTGGTGATGCATGTGTACATTCCAGAGCTGCAGAACTGAAGAACTTGGCATAGACCAAGACAAAACCCACTGACTTGGTGGCAAAGACATTATGCTCTCAGCAGTGTAAGAATGCCCTCACAGAACTCTTGTTTGGCTCTCATTAAACTTAGAACCAGCATGCTGAAGGCCAAACCAAGTTTTCACTCCCAGCAATGCTGTCTAGGGCTGCATACAGTATATCGTGAGCTGGTGCAGGCAGTACCTTAAACAATAAGGAGGAATATGCAAAGAAGTTTTCTTTCATGAGGAAGTGCAAAAGGACATTTACACTTAATGTATGTCAAAGAAAGGCTAGCGATCCACAAGGGAAGTTCCAGGTATACAACCCTAATGCAAAATAACAGAGGTAAATTGTGGCTACACTTTGTGCAAACTTTATTCCACAGTATTGACTGTGTATTGAAACTTCTGCATGACTAAATTGCTTATTGCTTTCTCCCTCTTTAAACCAACACAATGGCATGGCTTTTCACTCCCAGATAGCTTGCTATGTGCCTCCATAAATTAACTCCTAGGCTATAAACAAGGCTATCTTTTTCTTCTGTAGATTGAGCAAAAGGAAAATACTTCTGCCCTTTTAAGTATGAGAGAGGTACTTGCATGGAATGAGCGACTGAGTGATGAAAAATAAATGTATAATTCCATCAGTTAACAAGGATGGAAAAAGTGCCCTCTGCTAATAATACATATTTTCTCACAAGAGTGGCCTGCTAAAAGGGATTTTAATTGGAATTCTCCACTGGATTTGTTTCTGGAGCACTGTCTGTTTTTGCTAGAATTTATTTGTTGGTTTCAACATTTTCTGGCTCAGATGAATTGTTTTAGATTCTCAGAGACAAATGAATTAATTTTACATCTTAGAGAATAATAACAGCTAAACAGGAGTAAGGCATGGTAGTTGCAAATTTTAGTTGCAAATTTGATTTGTTGCTACTTGCTCGTGGACATCCTTTTGCAAGAATCTCAGTGCTCAAGCAGGTGTGCAGTGTGCAATTCCGCGGTGTGACTGGAACGCACCACTCTCCATTTTTTCCCCTCTAGCTCCAAGACAGGGGCATGGCTCTGCTGCGGGGAGTTCTTGGGGGAGGTGGGACTTGGAGTATGGCTTTTCGTGGGAGAACGAGCGGGTGGACCTTGGGCACGTAGGCTGGGGTTCTTGTGAGTCTTCTGGTCGTCAGAGACATGGCGAAGCCCTTGGAAAAAAAGAAGGGTTATATTATATTGTAAAAAAGAATCTGTTCTCTCGTCCTAAGGCTATTCATTTTGAAATAAGAAAGATAGTATCTAAATCATTTGCAGTCAATTGTGTTAAATTATCTGATAAGTTGACATTTTTTATTTCCTCATGCTTTGCCTGGGTAACCACCTGAAGTGTAACTGGCATAGATATTTTTAGCCATTTATATAAAACCTCTTTGACCGCGGATGGGCTTTCTTAAAATCTTTACAAGAAATGCAGCAGTCTTTTAGATCCTCTCCATCTGTAGAGAGATCTGTGATCTTGCTATTGAGTATTTCTACATCCAGAAAAGTGAGATTCTTTTTCTAATTTGACACTAGAGACAGACATATCAATTGTAAATATTTAAATTCACAGCCATCTACTTTAATTACAACTATTCAGTATTAATACAAAAGGTTTTATCACACTGATTTGTGAGCCACACCTTTCCATGCAAATGTATGACACATTTTGACACAGGTTGGTACACTGACTGTGGGTCAGAAACAGGAATAACTTCTGACTGTAATTGCAACTTTGAAGTTCACCAGCTACTGGCGATTGAAGATGTCTAACGCGGTTGCATTGAAATTAAATGGAGACTTTGAAATAAGTGGTGTGAATTTCAGGAATACTGAACAATTTTGAGTGCTGCTACTTCTAAAGGAGGGTTTGGTATGCTGTCTCATCCAGATGGACCAGTACAAGCCTTGGAAAGGTCTCTGTTGCCTAAACGTAGCTTTAAAACATTGGTGGAATTTGGGTCAGTACATGCAACAGCTGTTGATGTAGTTTGACTCAAGGGTCACAATTTGATTTCTTTTCTCCTGACCTTTGGTAATTGCCTCTCCTTGGTTAAGCTGTGCAAACAGTGCTGAGCGAGATGCCGTTCCTTCATCCTTTGGGGGGGTTTCTGTGTCAAAGATGGGGGGAGGTCCTGGTGGAGGTGGTGGTGGTGGAGGAGGTGTTGAAGAGGGGCACGACCCACTGGTTAGGACAGATCTCATAGACGTGGCTGATGCAACAGGACCCTGTGTGGGATAGATGGAAATTATTTTTAAATACAGTGTTTCAAGCAACACTTTATTATGATAGCTCTTACTTGTTAACATCCTTGGATACTGTTGAGTTTCATTGATCCCAGGCAGCCACATGTTCAGAAGAACTTCTAGCATCATAAGTGGTTATTAAACACTATTAATCTTTCCTCGCATCAATGGAAACCAGGCTGGAAAGGCAGGCAGTCCACACAGCCACTCTGCTGCACAGCTACTCCACCTAACATATTTATACAAAATGTTTGCCAAGAGTATTATTAAACATCTCCAATATTAAAGTTTCCATATGATTTATATGTGGTGTGATATGTAAATACTTCTCAGATATAAAAGCAAAAATCTCTTTTTTTTTTCTTGAGACACTGTATTCAGTAACTTGATGTGTGTTCAGAAACACTGAAAATGTTTTGTCTAAAAAATAACTGAGAGGGTCACTGAATGTCAGTTATCCAAGATTCTCAACTATAAAAAGTATGTAAAATGCTATTCTTCAGACTGTTGAAGTAATCTGCAAAGATTTGAATTGCAGCAGAATACAAAGCTATGGTCATTCAAGTCAGTTCTTTATGAAATTCAATATTTTTTGATTTCTCAAATTATTTGTCTTCAATTGCAGGAGATGGCAGCACATGAATAATGAGTGAGGGGACCCTGATAAAGTAAGTAGTGCAATCATTCTATTAGTTTGCACAATCAAAAGTAAATTTTTTGATGTTTTTGTCTGAATGGTGATGCTCATATATAATATTATTAAACAAAAAGGGAATACTGATAATGAGCTGATTACAATTTTATGCATCCTACTGATACTAAAGATACAAAGAATCCGTGAAACTGAGAATCGCTTTTCCTGTCTTGCCACTGAGTGTCACTCTGATGCCAGAAATTGCTCATCAAACAGCATCTCTGCAGCACAGCAGAGACTTTTGTAAGAACTGCTAGAAAAAATTAGGTTGGTCTGATTAATTTAGCTACCTATCCAAGTGTTGTGCATTGCATTATATTATATATATGCATTATATAATATTCATTAGGTAGGTAGATACAGTGGAAAAATGACAGAGACTTACAGAGTCATGTCTCCTAATTGGCTGCCTTTGTTAGGAGATATAGGTTGTTAAAAATGCATCCCAGGTAACCAATACTGGAAACAGATATTGCTTAGCTGGACTCAAAGGATATTTTTAATTGTTTAATGTACCACTACTTTCTGCTTTGCACTAAGTGAAAACATCAAAGCATCCATATGGTTCATGCATCTCACAGGAGTAAAATCTGTAGCTAATTTTTAAACAGTGAACTAGCTTTGGCTTGTGATCTCAAATGTGAAGGGGGCTGAGGTGCACACACTTTTGTTATTCTTCAGACATCCTTTAAAAAAAAAAAAAAAGACTGGCACACTTGAGTACCCAACAGTCTGTATGACCCTGATTTAAGCAGCATGGAAAAGTAATAACAACATTAATTAACATCTTAATGTAACCCTTCTCTTGGCACGTGGGTCTTCAGCATGTGGGTACTGTTCCATTCAGGGCAACCATTTATGATTACTTCAGTGATAAATACACTGCAAGATACTTTGTCACATTACACATACACATTAGTGGCATTAAAACTGCACTTGCACAGTAAGACTCAGGTGAGTAACAAAGCCGATGTAACAGCACGGCCTGATTGTTTCTGAAAGGATCTGTGATCTCTTAAAGCAATGAGTTCTTCCCCGTGCTGTTAAATGTTTTTAACCAAATGTCAGCAAAAGAGGAGAATCCCATTTTGGAATTGATTATCATTTATTGTCAAGATACACCAGAACCAGGTTCTGATGTTGTTTGCTCTTAGAGACATTTCACTGTTGCATGGATACATTTAATTCTGAGCATTTCTGCATATGTACTTGGTAATTATAGGCTATTATTTTGGACTGGGGACAACTCCCCCACTGGGAACTCTATTTACAGTGCCCATCTTCCTGCCTGTGCTCATGTCAGTAATGTTACCTGCAGCAGAGTCAGCACAACTGTGAATTACTATAGTAAAAAATGAATGTAAGTGGATTTAGTGGCACAATCAGTTATTGCTGCCTGAGGTGCAACAGAGATCTTCCCTATCTGTTGCCTGCAACCATAGCAACTGAATTCACTATGTCCTGGTTATCCAGAATTATGAACATTGCATTTGCAGGTCTTTTTAAAATACTCAGCTACACAGAAATGGCACTCACCATCCACACTGCAGTGTGAACCTGCAGCTATGAATTATGTATGCTTTAAGTGAGTAGATTAATGGTAGTACTGGCAGTAGTGGTTAATAACTTGTGGCTTGAGATAAAAATTTGGCTGTCTGATTTCCCAACATACTTTATAGCTTCCACCTGCATAAATACAGTACTGTGATTTTCCAGAAACTTGTGTGTGAAAGAGTCGTTGTTTGAGGAGCAACTGTCACCTAGAAGCAGAAGCAGCTGACGTTCTTTTGTAATTAACACCAATTAAATTCTGCAAAAGCTACAAACATGCAGGAGTTATCTGCATGTTCTGCATATAGCACAGAATGGTGGGTCGCTGCCAATCTCTTTGCTTCAGGTGCTAAAGGCCTATGCCTGATCTATGCAGGAGACTCTGAACTCAAACGATGATGCTAAGTAGTGATGCTAAGCTGAAGCTAATCAAAGGGCAGTTTTCCAAACAGGAACAAAGGGAAGGGAATGTCCAGTAACCAAAGTAGAAGCAAAACTCAGAAGAATTTAATCGTGGGAAGTGGATGATCCCTCTCCCAGAACTCTGAAAGGACTATCTAGTGAAAACACAAACAAAACAGAAGGATTTTAAATAATCAAATTCAGACATGGTCTTATGTGACTGGAGAATGTCTTATTTACTTTTCAAGGGCAGAGGTGGGAAAGGATCTGGGCAATTATGAGCATGTTCTTCTTCTAAAGCAATACTCCCAGAGATAAGCCAAGTCTAGTCAAAACCCTCCACTTTTCTTTACAAGGCTGGTCCATCCTCTGAAGTCAGTGGCTATCTCTACTGTGCTCAAAAGATGTTGGGTTATACATAATAACAGTACAGGAGCTGTCACGAGGAGAAGACAACTGGGGTTCTTCATTTTTCTTTGTGATCTTGTGGAATCACAGAAATAAGAGACGGACTGAACCTTTGTTGTAAACTTTTCTCCTTTGTGACAAATTCTTGTTTATGACCGAGTTACAGCTACAGAAGCTAACAGAACATGGTGACATTTTCAATTATGTCTAAACATCTATGGCCAGGATCTGAAAATCTGCTGCCATTCTGAAAACTGCAAATGATTTCAGTCATAAGTTAACCTAGGCAAAATGAAAAGGCAAGTCAAAGTCTAAAAGGGCTGTTAATGATAGGGCCAGGACTAACTGCTCCACTGTAAGCCTACCATCTAATGACATCGATACATGCAGTACAACAATCCTCAAATGAAACAGAGCAGCATGGAAAAGAGACAGAGGTCTGGAAGACTTGGGAAGGCATACAGAGTCATGCTGTATAGAAGTGCTCTATCTCACTCTAGCTTTTATCTTCTTTTCTTTTCCATTTTGATTTACCTGATGGAAATCAAGCTAACAGTCAAGTCGATATGAAGTATTTTTGTGGGAGGAACGACTCAGGGTAACACTTAGAAGGGGATGGAAGGTGCAAATGAACTGCAGGAAACACAGTACACTTCTTGCATTCCCTGCATGTCAGGGAGATTGTGCTGGACTAAAACATGCTTGTGCCCAGGGCAGTTTTAAAACCAGACTAGAGAAGTGGCTCCAGGAACTTTCTTCTTTTGATTAGTTTCGACCTCTGTTAATGCATAGACCTCAGTATTATCAACCTAAGTCACTGAAAATTGGTTTCCTTTTCTTAGTCATCTTTCTAAGACTACTTAGATCCTCGGGCTCTAGAATATTTCTGAACCAGACTCTTAAACTGTTCTGGTATCTAGCAATACTTGTGTATAGTTCTATTTGTGAATATCCTATTTCAACTAAAGTGCTCTTCACAGAGTCCATTCATTTCTTTTCTGTATAGCATGGTGTTTACGAGAGCTGCTGGGAATAAAATAGCACGTTATGCCCACAAAAGTTCATCTTTCCTGAGGCAGCAGGTGCTTACCAGCTTTGCTATTTGCAAACAACTCTTTATATTAACTTCAAGCAGATGTTAACAACAGTGTGTCTTTACACAAAGAGTATTAAGAGCCATTTGGACTAGCAAAGGCGGTTATTTGCAAGCCGCCTTTCTTCCTCTTTTATTTCAGCTGTTTGCCTTGGTAACAGCTGCTGTTCTCAGTGCAGTGGTGTCTGTACACTTCGTGACAAGTTGTGCTGATAGCCAAATGTTCTCATTGCCATGTTGCTGAGGTCATTTTTTTCATCATTTGAAAATATGCCCCTTGAAAGAATTGCGAGGGGAATAGATAGATAGCTTCAGCCTTTCTTCATGAAAATGCAACATGAAAACAAGCCATTAATGTTTAACCTGTTAGCTTTGTATCAGAGTGAACTTGATATGGTTGCAATCTTGTTCCCAGGGCTTCCTGAAATATTGGAAAAGGTGTCATTCTCTGAGTAAGGTCCAATCAGGAACAGAGGATGCAGGCCCTGTGGTCATTAGAAATAGTTATGAAGAGGACAAAATATTCCAGAATTCTTCTCTCTGGGAAAAGAAAAATGTCTTTGGCCTCCTTCTAAACTATGATCTGAATGAAGTGACAGGAAGGGGTCAGGGATAGCCTTTGCTGGATAGCCCAGAGCCATCTGCAGAGGCTCAAGAGCTTCCCATTGCCTGTGCCTCAGCCATTTCCCTGGAGCCAGCATCTGAAGCTGCTGACAGCCTTGGGTCTGATAAATGTATATTATCACCGTGGAAGGGTTTGCAGGATTGCAGTACAAGCTCAGAGTAAGCTGTATTTCTAGCTTTATCTCATAGGACTGGCAGAAGGGTGAGGTA